GCCTATTGTCATATACCGGGCACAATTCCAGACTCCGTGCTACCACTGAGATTTTTTTTAAAAAACCCAGTACCCAGTTGCCAGACCCGGGAATCGAACTTGAGACCCCTTGCCTGGCAATCGCACTTGCTACCACTCGGCCAACGAGGCAGTCAGAATTATATTTTTAGTAAATAGATCTTTAAGAAAAATGAATGATGTTCTTGAGACGGGTCCTTTGTTACAATACCAGTCCAAAGGAGTAATGTAACAAAAATATCCTGGAATTGATCATGTAATGCGATGTCAGATTTATTTTAAATTTCGACTATTCTGAGAATATCGGTATTCGTTAATATTATTTCGTACCAGCTACAATCTTGTCATTCGAAAAAAAAATAGGTATTTTGAATTGAAAATTTTTTTTAAGAAACAAGGAAAATGACTCTATTTATTACATTTTTATAATGGTATTTCCTTGTTTTTTTAATGTCCACTCGTTAAGATGTTTTTTTTTTGTTTAAGGAAATTGGTTCGCGATTAATCTTTAGAATTTTGTTGTTTATAGTGTTTGCATTAATTTTATTTATATTGTATCATACTAATTAGAGTTCTACATTAAAAAATTATGTAACCTTATATAAGGATTTTACTATCACTAATAGTTAGATAATTCTTACAAGTACTTTAAGTTTTAGTGTCAACATCACTGAATAAAACATTTACAGTGCTTAAAAATAAATTACTGTAATAACTTTCCTAAAAACACTAACTTACGGGAAAACCAAAGCATTAAAAAAAAACATTCAAAAAGTCTGATTTACGGAATTGGAATAATCATTCACAGGCACAAAACAAAAAAAAAACAACACAAAAATACCATACGTCAGTTCCCTAAATATAAACATAAACAAAAAAGACAATTTATCATTCAGTTCAGTATTTTCCTTCACAAATAACAGAGACCCATCAACCAGACGGAGTTTCCTAAAAAACATTAACATGTCGAGACGAGACCGCTTTCGAAAATGTGACACAAAACCTCACCTGCCGAGGTTTGCGTTACGAGAGAAAACGAGATACGCCCATATTGTTCCCAACCAATATTGTACCCTATTTAACCACATATAGGTTCCAGATTCGAAAATTGTGATCTGGATTAGAATATTCGAACCGAACATTTCGGTTTTTGGGGTAAAATTCAAAGTTATGTTCTTTTTTAGAACGTGATATCGAAGCGATGTGCGAATTTGATACATAAAACTTTATGGTTAGGGTGCAATATTGACCGGTAGGATGCAATATGCTTTTTAAAAAAGTATCAGTTACATTTTTGTTATTTTAGTTACAAACTCGATAGCTGAGTGGTAGTTCAGGTTCAGTAGTCAAACAAAGGTTTATGATTTTTTGTATAGGTACTGGAATTTTCACTCGGAGTTTAGCAAATAAGGCCCTATTACAATGAAGCTAATGCAATAATTGGCGAAAAGTAGACTACGATCAATGAACCTCTATCTATTCCAATGGTAAATAAGGTGAAGATGCTTTGTTAGTTTTGTAGAATCTGCAATAATGTTTTTTCTTTCTTTTTTTAATAACGTTGCCCCACATTAGGATTTTCTCCTGTTTCGTGGGTGCGTTTACAAACATTCAAGTTCACATACACAATGACATCCAGACACGAAACAACAATTTGTGGATCACAAAAAGTGTTGTTCCGTGCGGGAATTGAACCCGCGACACGTTGCACGGCAGCCGGTTGCTCAGCCACCGCACCATGCAGTCGAGCCAATTAGCAATAGACAATTTACAAAAGAAGTGGAATATTGCTTCATCTCTGTATTCTATTCTCTTTACGATACATTTGAAAATTGACCAAATACCTAAAAGCAAAAACGCAACCAACGGCATTCATAAATAGAGTTATAAGTGAAGTCACTTGAAAAGCAAAAAATAACTAGACCAATAATTCCGTTGAAAACAAACGATTACAACTATAACCTTTGATGGATCCACGAAATAGGATCAGGCAGAGAAACGTCAATTATTTTTAGACTGACAAACTCTTGATCAAAGGTTTGGAAAACTTTATCGTATCGAGTGTCGACTTGACTGTTCTTTTTGGAAGTAATTTTATTTAGGAACTGAACTGGATAGTTTTTTCTGTATTTGCTCGTTGGCCTGCTATGTCTTTATCACAATTAAGAACCATGTTAGTATTTGACTGCCTCGTTGGCCGAGTGGTCGCGAGTGCGATTGCCGGGCAAGGGGTCTCGGGTTCGATTCCCGGGTAGGGCAAAGTATTACTGGGTTTTTAAAAAAATCTCAGTAGTAGCACAGAGTCTGGAAATGTGCCCGGTATAATATATGGCAATAGGCTCACCCCCTATTACATGGGACTCATAATATAAATAGTGAAAAGTGAGTGTTACTTCTGTGTGCACCTCTGCCTACCCCTTCGGGGATAAAAGGCATGATGTTATGATGATGATGATGATGTTAGTATTTTTTAGAAGGTAATTTGCAGAATGTCATTGTCAAGTAGAGGAAAAAGCTCACGTATTGGAATTTTCAATTATCAAATTAACAGGAAGATTTGACTTTATTACAACCAGTGAATCAACCTCTCTAAACTTGTTTTAGTAAATGACATTGAGATCAGTAGTCAAGTTTACAATTTTAATACTTATAACTATGGTGTTTAAGGGTCGTTTAACTAAGAACACATCACATAACAAATTAAACAAAACAGTAAAGCCATTAACGTAATTTCGTACATTATCTCCAACAAAAACATTTCCATCAGTTTCTCTTTCCTTTGTGTTGTACAAAACCAAACTGGACTCATTATTATCCATAATAACCTCATCAATAGACTTACCACTAATTTATTTACCAACACACTCACTATTCACTTCCATTTGTTCTTGGTATTTTTCCTTAATTAGTAGGTATCTAATATTTTGTCTGTAGTGTTGCTCGTTTTTACATTACTTAATAGATTCCCGTCAGATAACCTCTATCATGTATAATAAAAGGGCAAAAAGTAAACCATTTGCTTCTTGAAAGGCAGTTTTCTAATGCTAAAGGAATTTTTTTAATCGGTCTAACACTGTCGGAACCTACATTTAATAGCCTGATTGGCAATTATGCTTTCGAACTGTTTGGGGTTGAAACTTTAGGGCCGTGGGGTCCAAGTGCGCATTTTCTTTATAAAGGTTTTATAAAGAAGATTGTTAACACTTCAAGTGATCGAAAGGCTGACTACCTTGGTCAAAGGTTAAGCATTGCCATCCAACGTGGCGATGCTGCCAGTCTTTTGGGCACCCTGTGATATTTTTAAGAGGATATTTTTTCGGTGCCGTAAGTATCTACATACTTTTTTTTATTTTCTTTCCTTTTATTTTAACGCCCTTTTTGCCTCGCCCTAGGACTTTGTTCTCTGTCGTGATTGTTCATATGCTTGTTTACAAATTCATAAACACTCAGACCAAAATACAATAATTACATTTTAATGCAAACAAACAATTAATGTTTCCCATTGTAATACATATAGATAGTACACATAATGCTCCCTAAGTATAAAAGAAGTCATTACTAACACTATTGGAAAAATAATCGGTATAGCTGAGAGCAATAAATCGACCGTTCAAATTGTCGGTTAGGGAAACAACTTGATTACATCGAACGGTATAGAAACAGATGAAGTTGAATAATTAGATGAGAGAGAAATCAGCTAAGATGTTCCTGAGATAATGGTCTCATTTCGTTTTGTTTTACGAGCCTCCATTTTTTATTTTAATCTGGTTTGAATTATTTTGGCTGTTTTAAGTAAGGTTTGATGTAATTGAATCTGTAGTAGAGTTACTTTTTGTTGTTGTTTTGTTAATTACAATTCTTCAAGTCTTTCCAAGTCTAACTGCTGAGCGTGGAGTGTTTTTTTTAAGGGGGGAAAATTATCGAATGACTGCTCCCGCCTGGGTCAGACTTTTACTGACTAAAAACCACCCCGTTCCTTCTCCTGCACGTCGAGCCGGAGCCCCGGTTACCCGTTAGGTTCTCCGCGACTCCGAATCGGCATCGACCCTATTGGGTCCCATCTGTGGTGCCCATTACCCATTACCGATGTGTATCGATTTGTGGGTCAAAAAGTAAAATGATATGTACGTATGTACAAACATTTTTAAATACATAAATCCAATAATTTGTCTTATTAGAAGTTCAATCAAAAACTAAGAATCGTTGTTGCAACGATTTCAACAAGGAAGTTCTCCATAGTATTTAGTATACAAAACTTAAAATGATGCTATTTATTAACAGTTAATTGTAGTTCAGTAAACTAGAGTAAGCAGTTACCCTAGTTGTTCATGAAAGAGCAAGTTTTGGAGAAGTAGTAAACAATAGAAATAGGTTACCAAAGCCAAAGTTTCAGATTTGTGAATGAATATTTGCAGGAACAAATTAGTGTTTGTTACTAGAAGTTACTAGAACTTGTACTAAATTTTGGAAATAATAATCAATTTTGATAGAGAACATTTTCTAGAATACAAAAAAAAATACTATATAGTTCTGTCTGAATGTGGGATATCGTGAAATAAGGTTTTTAAAAGACTAGCATAGAAATAAATTTCATATAATTATATGTAGTAATAGAAGTAAACCATTAACACAGCAAACCTCACAACATAGAACCAAACAAAAACTTCATAAACATTCAGTTTCCAAAAACGACTTACCAATGAAAACTACTTAAAACAAAAATTATGCTAAGACATCTGACTACCTCAAGCATCTGTTAACACGATTACACGATAGCCTGATTACAATAACAGTCTTGATTACAACCATTCCATTATTTGGAATTACCTTCCTGACTTCCAGATCATAGGAACACTAGGTAAGAACAAAATGACGGTCGGGAAAAGTAATTTCACCAGGGCACTATCTTAGGACCCGTTAATTGGGAACAAAGAGTATTAAGGCCTTTGGTCGTAATAAATGTGGAAAAACTTCGTACTTACATTGAGGTAGACTTGGTCGGTGGAAATGGTCCTGTACCTGTTATAAGACAAAAGAAATTGGTTAGTAGATTTATTGATACTTATGATATAAAAGAATGAATGATTAGGCTCTGTCGCAAAATTTTATATGAAAATAATTCTCTTAAACTTTATCGCCTCTTTTTTTTCAGAGGATCAAAAATATTTTGCTTGGTCTTGCTTAATCGAGCTATAATTATGTAGTTCCTAATTAGATTACAAAATTTCAATGGACTCATTAATAAAAAGACGAGCTTCCAAAATATAAAGAGGATCAGAGAAATATAAAGAGACATCAAGAAATTCAAACAATAAGAACTACATTAATAGAATTGCTCAAACCATCAATAATATTGTTAAGACAATCTAGTTAATACATTTCAAATTTCTGAAGCACTGCAAATATTCTCACTTTAAAGCTGCGTTGCTTTAACCCAAAATATTGGTGTTTAGTTTAACAGTATAATAATTTAACTCAGTTCACTTCACTCCTAACTTTAGCACTTTAATTATACAACAAGTGATTATAAAGTTTAACAGATTTGCATAAACGTTCAGAAGGCGTAGTACGTGTTTCTTTTACATTTACCGTGATCGAAATGTTACTGAGTTTAACCTTCTGATTGGTTGGTTCATTGGCGCTGTCCAATCAGAGCGCTGAACGTGGTACCGTTTCAATCTCATTCAATGTACAACAAACTTGTACTACGCCCTCAGTAATATCTACGTGGGCAGTAAAGCTGTAATAACTTTAGGATTATTTCTGGTTTGTTTAACTGAAACGGTAATTGTTACAGCTGTAACTCCTTTAACTGGTGTAGGTATGGTACCGAATTAGTCGTAATTGTGGGAGATTAAATTTATTTAATCCCTTAACTTTATTCGGGTGTTGATTGGCTGTGTTTGTTATTGTCATATATTTACATAAATAAAGAATTATGTAATGAAATTGGAAGTTGTAGATTTAGATAGAAAGAAAGAAAAAGTATCTGAACCTAAATATTTTTGTCTTTTTCTAGCATGGCAACAGAACACGCCGATAAACGCGCAGATGGATCACCTGATAGTAAGTAATCGCCGTCGCCCATGTACACCTGGAACACCAGGGGCGTTACAAATGCATTACTTTTTGGGGGCTAGGAATTTGACGATTGTTGGGGATTCATAGATTAGGGAGATTGGGGAAGGAAGGGAGAGGTAATTGGGCCTCCGGTAAACTCACTCACACAACGCAATGTTTAAGCAAGTACCTACAACTTAATGAATATAAGTTTAGTATATAGCTAGCTATCGATATGTAGATGATCACATACAGTCCACTTTTCTAATGTGTCAAGTTAGTTGAGAATAAAGTTTCGCGTCAAACACACGTTTATTCATTCAAAATTCCTCTAAACCAAATACAACCTTATTGCTACAAACACTCACACAACGCAAGCGTTGTTTCACGTCGGTTTTCTGTGAGGCTATGCTATTACTCCAGTCGAGCCGCCCCACTTAAATTAGATAAGTAGCACTTCAAGCAGTTCTCCCTGTTTATACATTAACTGGTCTAGTAAGTTTCACCTATCAGAACGCCTCATCAATGTCAACCGTTGACGTGGGTCCTGTGTCGATAGCAAACTATTTGTAAGATACTTAAGTCATATAGCTAACTATAATACGTAACCCTTATCACAATAAATTATTATCATCAAGTGTATGAAAATTTAGTTGAGCCATTTTTATCAATTGCAATAAACATTCAGCGTCAAACCAAAACCCTAAGCCGTTTTCAAATCCTACCATATGGCAAAACAACTATACAATCCATAAAGAATTAACATAATAATTTTTGTAAAATAAATAAATAATTTTTGTTATTTTAATTTTGAAAATGTTAGAATAATATCACTGCATATATATATTTACTGTTTTTCTATTATTATTATTAAATGTATAATATTTTATTAGTCACGGGCAAGTGCTGAAAATCAGCGCCGCGACTCGAGCACACTCGTGTCACGGCATTTAAGCTGAGCTCTGGCCTTTTTGCGCCGTCTTTACTGTATTGTTTTTTTTTTATTTTTTTTGTGTTATTGTACCTTGTGACGGTGCGCAAATAAACAATTTTTCTTTTTTTCTTTCATAATCAATAAATGAATTCATTTAACGACCTCATAACCACTATACAACACTAAATCTATAAGAATAGAATAGAATCACGCCTTTCATCCCCGAAGAGGCAGGCAGAGGTGCGATTACGACACTTAATACTACCACTGTACAATGTAGCACCCACTATTCACTATCTATGTTATGAGTCCCATGTAATAGGGTGTGAGCCTATTGCCATATACCAGGCACAATTCCAGACTCTGTGCTAGTACTGAGAATTATTTAAAATACCCATTAGTTCTTTGCCTGAACGGGAAATTGAATCCGAGACCCCCTAAATCTATAATCCTTACTTCCTTAGCAACCAACCAACACCGTGGTTAAGAACTCCTACTCAGATACTGACACATACTCAAACAAGCAACTTTAAAATTAGGTACCTAAGATCCCACACAGTAACACAATGACAGGCTCATAAAATTCACACACACTCCGTACAACATTAACGCTCCATTACTGAACACTGAACACTGACTGTCAGTCACAATGCGACAATTTCAGTTGCCATTAAATCCAAGTCATTTGCGTGGGAGTGCGTCTAAATACCTCGTCAATGTGAGAGGGAATTAGGAGAGAGTTCTCGTAAAATTTTAAGGTTATAAAGCGATGATGCACAAGTTTCGAATGAATGGTAAAATGTCAAATGTTTTACTGTAGGTTCGAAGTTTTTGATGGGTTGTGGTTGGTGGAACCTTTTAGGGGATGTTTTATTTAGGTCGGACAGGTTTTTGTTTGTATGTAATAGGGACATTTTTAACTGACTTCAAAAAAGGAGGAGGTTCTCAATTTACCCAGTATGTGTTTATGTTTGTGCACGGTTATTTTGCAATTGGCTGAACCAAATATTTTCACATAGGAAAAGGTTTTATATTAATTAATCGACTCCAAAAAAGAAGGGGTCAAGTTCGTTTTACTAAAAGTAGTTTATAATAAAATAATACTTACAATATTTTGAAATGTGAAGTCGATAATGAAGCTTACTTGGAGTTGGTATACACGATTTGGTTTTCCTTTTTTGCATCATTTTTATCAAATAAATTTTGACCACATTGGCAGACCCTTATTAATTATTCCGGTGGTTGATTAACACAACTTGTAAACTTCCCATATTTATAATAGAGAACGAGAACGAAACCGAGAAACACCAGCAGTCTCCCTTAGCAATGTATGTACCATAACATAAATCGTTATTGAAATTGAACAAAAGTACCTACTTTTTAACTTTCGTATTTACAATACCTGTAACAGAAACATATCAGTATTCAAATTAAATAAAAATAATTAAAAAAATAATCTATAGCTTGCAAAACTCGGCAAAATTCATTCATTTCACTCCCCCACTTGAGTTTCATCTCACGATAGATAAGCCGATAACTCATTTCATCTGTCTTTCTTTCCTGGACCAGAAGTAAATCAAATAAAAGTAATCATACTTTTGAAGATAATTTACCTTGTGTTTTGAATTCCCTTTGTAGATCTACGGCGTAATTTATATTTTTGATTTACGACTTTGTATCATTTTTGTGTTCTAAAAGAATTGGGATGATGACAGGGTATGAAAATTAAAATATAATTAGTCCGTAAGTTAGGCAATGAAAAAATATTATACACATATTTTTTTATTTTGTCGTATAATAAAACAATACTTAGATAAAACGAATCAAAATTTAAGAGTAGGGGCTAAAACGTCATTTCTACGCATAAAATGCACATAGAAGTGACGTCACGCGACATTTCAAATCAATATATCGCCGAAAGTATTCGTTTCTGTAAGAAAATAAAAAATACGTGTCTAATTATTTAAAATAATCTGCCAGACGGACATTAAAATAAAAATTAGGCATCTTACCTATTGCGTAGATGTGTTTAACAATTTTATTATTGATTTAGACATTTTATAATAATAACTTTACTGCTGTCCTAAAGGGTGGAAAGTTGGTTAGATTTACACTAATGAAAGCATAAGTAAGTTTGTCATAAGTCTTGCGCAATGAGGCTAGAATACCTCAAAGATTTCTGTTCAAAATATTACATTGCCAAACTTGTGAATAAAACTAAAGCCACCATAGTACACTTAAAAAGTAAGTCTTTATCTATTCAGTACTATAAATAAGAAACACGTTGCTTAAACTCCTCTCGCATAAAACAAGAAGGGAAACGTGAGCACCCAAATCTATTCTAACAACAAAAAAGTGTTACCGAAACTTGATGACAAGACAAGACAGGGTACTTGTAGCCTAAATTCTAACAAATTCTACGAGATCCCGAATTGTCGCGTATTCTCCGAATTCTGGAGAATCGAGTGAGATAAAACGCCACATTACTGGAGTTGTCCTGTCAGTCCCGTTTCAAATCAAATAATATTGAATATTTCGAGAATTCGTAAGATGTGCACGTCACTCCTTCGTCATTGGGCTTGTTTAATAAAAGGGGCCTGCTTGTAAAGTCGACTGGTAAACCTAAAGACTTCTATTTCATTAATTTGTATTGACGACCATTCGTTTACCGCCTCAGGGAAAAATCATTAGTTTGTTTTTTACATTTCATATTTTATTCAAAAAACAAAGGTATCATTTGGTCTATCAATACCAATTAACCTGAAATAAACTAGACACCAAAGAAAATTTGGCATTGTAGCTCCAAATTGATTACTTTTCCTAGCTCCAACTACATACATACATACACCGTCATCCTCGGCATCCAATATCTCTGAACAAGTCTCCTCAAGACGATCCAATAAAGCCGGTATTGCCAGCATACTAAACAACGTTTAGTTTCTGCTCCGACGCTGCACTTTATTCAAGGAATTGCATTTAGCTCACTACGTTAAACTAGCCAGACTTGTGTTGTTTTCCTAACTAA